CTGGATTCCTGCGAGAGATTGTTCGATTTTCAATGAAATATTACGCTCTGTTCCATTTTCATGGTATCAATGAATTTCCATATACTTGGATAAGTGGCACCAATAAGTTGGCTAGGGCCTAAATGCCACTCGTCCACCACATTGTTAATTATGCTAAGGTATTCTGTAACAGGATAAATCCAACATATTTCACATCATTGAAAATATTTCCCCCTATCAATTTTCATCTTTATTAGTATGAGTTTTTTTAAACCGCACACTTTTGGTCACATCCTTATTAGTGCGGACTGACATTCAATCATGTTAAATTTGTTGACATAATAAAGAGTGGAATTCTCAACCTCCTGAAGTGAATTGTTCTGGTAATAACTTTTGAATTTCTCTACTTTCATTACAAACACTTTAATTGATATCTGTGTTTCTATGTGCTTTTATATGTGGATATCAGTCAATCAGTGTCTATGACTTAACATGTAGTAGTGTGATTTGTGTCATTTATACTGACAGATCTAAGTAGTATGTAGCAGTAATTGAAAGTGGAATTCTTACTAGCAGAAGAAGAATATAAGGGTAATCAGAGTGACAGCAGGAATGAAAGCTTGTAAAGGATAACTCAAGGAAGAAGTGCAAATGGTATATTTAATGTTTCGTTTTCATATTTTACAAATGCAGTGTGTACGTTTGTATGATTTGGTTGATTTTATCTTCCTAAGTTTCGTTATATCGTTGCTCCGTAATAATTAATGTTATGAAATGTGTTAGAAAGATCCATGGAAAACGAATATTTCTTTAGAGACTATTGAAGACAATAAGCATAAATGTCTTTGATCTAATTCAACTTTCGTAATTATTGTAGGTTCGTTCTGGACAGCGTACTCTCACTTCCCACGTAACAGCCTAAGTTTGATATGTGGCACCGTGCAACCTATTTGCACTGGATAACGTAGACTGAAACATAAAACACAGCTGATTTTTCAATCTGCTTATATATCAGGGTTCCGTTGCTGATGAACTTCACTTCTACATCCATATCATTTAATGAATAAGACATTTGTGATAAAAGTCTTAGTAAAGGTAAATTTACAGAATAGCTAATTTCAATACGAGAAATCTACTCTTGAAACTGTTCAACATGATGCACCCATAACCCCATATAATTTTTAACTTGAGATTCCTAGGTACCATACAACCATATTAGGACTTATTCAGTTTTTTAGTGTCATTCAGTTTGTGATAAAGTAAAATATTGATCCAGAGTCAGCACTTTGTAGTTAGTTTGTGTTTGGCATTGCTGCCCTCACAGATAAAACATTTGGCTAGTATACATTTAAATCCATTTGGACGTAAAATATCAAAAAGCACACGAACACTATTTAGTCAAATAAATACTTTAGCAGAAAATGGCTTTCAACTACTGTAAAACATTTTCATATATTCCTAAAACTTTAAAAAAGTGGAATGTTTCCTGGAAGAAGTATTGAGATGACCAGTTGTAATCAAATTACTTGGAGTAAGACCATCTGGTTTCTTATAGATTTGTGCAATCAACATATGAAATATCATATATAAATAACTTATATAGCATTCAAGTTTTTACTGACTTACATTTTGATTTCAGTGTATTGTCGGTCCCTTTTAACTATGGATAAGAATTTAATGCTTTTAAGGGCGATTTTTCTTCAAGATTTTTTTGTATTTGTTTAGACGCGGCTACATAAGTTTCATTTCATGTTATATCAGTTTGTAGAATAGTTTAAAATGGAATTTGTCCTAAAATGAAACCATTTTCTTTCTTTCTGTTATTTTGACAACACTTTTAAGAAATGAAATCAAAATGGCCTTCTTAAAACAACTTTTTAATAAATTCATCAAAAACATACTTTATATCTCATGTTTATATGAATGAAGGAATCAAGTTACTGTTTCATTCTTAATAGGTTTATAGCTTTGATAAATTGTAACAAACTTGAATTAAGTTCCTTGGTTTAAGTAAAACAAAATTTAAAGAATTGATTTATGTTTAATATATGAACCATAAGGTTTTAACCAGATTTTTACTATCATTGCTACTAGAAACGTTGATAACACTCAAAGCTTACAGTAAAAATAATGTATGTTACCTACTGACATCCCTTAATGGTTATCGTAACTTGATATTTGCCCAAAGAACATCACTAATCCGTTTAAATCCAATCAATTTTAATAAGAACCTTAAATTATTATAAATTGTTGTCCAATAAGTTAAAGAGTTCTGATCAGTATCAAACCTGTGTGTTAGATCTCATAGCTAGTTTATAAGTCCTTGTTTTTAGATAAGAAAATGTTTACATACCAACTGAATGTGAAATACGATTCATAATTGTTATTTGCTATAATGATGAATGTTGAATTTAATTTCAAAAAAATATTTCAGAAATAGTGTTTAAATATTTTCAGTTGTTTTGTTGCAGTTGTATTTTGATTATTCATTTTACACCAAAAGTTTTTATCTAGTATTAAATTAAGTTTTGAAAAACACTATTGACTGACATTCAAGGGTGTAAGACTATCTTTTGTAGTAACATAGAATAAATTGAAACAGAAGTTAACTTTGAATAGGTGATATTTTTCTCAAAGTCACATTTCGTACTAAGACGAAGATATCTCCGTTGAATGAAATCTCATCACATTCTTTTTACACACAGTTCGTGAGTTGTGTTAAATAATGAATAGAGACTAACCAGATTATGATGGGATGAGACGTGAAGACTTAAAATTTGTAGACCAGTGGTATTATCATTTAATATAAATACTTGATGTAACAATTTAAATTAATTTTGTCTTATTTTTTTCGGAAAGTTAATTACCAATAATTTATATTCGTTTCCAACTTCAAAGATAACTCCTTTTTGTCCATTTATTTGCTAAGATGATTTTATATAGATTTTATACAATTCGAAGCTGATACTTTACTGTAAACTCATTTCATCTAGAAAACCGTGAAAAAATCCGTTTGGTATTGAACATCTATCTTGTTTTAATTTGAAACTCCTTAGTGGTACACATCAACAACCCTCAAGTGGGATGAAATTCAAATTGTTCATTATTCAAAACTGTTAAACAGCTCAGTCTTTTTATAATTATTTGAAATATACTGAAATATACTTATAATCAAAAATGGATGGTGGCTAGCAGTGGAATCCAGGACACTCGTTTCTCTTTATTTAGGACTTGTAAGCTAAATGTACCTGCATTTCAGAGTTGATGTTCACCCCGAGGCTCAAACCCAGTACTGTTCGCTTCAAACGCCATCGCGTTATCCATTTAGCTACTGAGTCCTGATAACCACCTGCTTGTGCGATGGTGTGAAGTTTAAGTCCATTTGGTGTTTGCTTTTATCTTGCCATCGTTGTTTAGGACTGCAATTGATCAGTTTCTTATTGGCATATGTGTATATTGTTCGTATTGCCTCGAGATTGTTATAAGTCACAAGCTTTACAAACAAAGATGAACATCAACTCCGGGATACAGGTACGTCCGGCTGATGAGTCCAGAATAGGACGAAACGCGTCCTGGATTCCACTGTTAGCCATCATCCATCTTTGCTTACAATGCTTGTGAATTAAGGCAATATTGAGGCAATCCGTACAGTATGCACATATGCCGATAAGAGACTGATAAATTGCAGTCCTAAGCAACAATGGGAAGATACAAGTAAAAAACAACACCAGGTGAATTTGAAATATACTTGTTTTGAAAGAATTTTTATGATCATCAAATGAACAGAATTGTGAAAAATCTATTTAAAATTATGTTTTCTGTTATGAATCATAGGAGGATGATTTTAACAAATTTAAAATAATCTATTTAAAGCCATAAATATTTCTTATTGTTATATAATTACTCATTTTATGCATTTTTGTAGTTAAATGAAATAACACTATGAAAATCTTTTCTAAATTTGTCAATGTTATTACATATTGCATGATTATTAACTGGTGTCTTGATATGAAGATTTCTATGGTTGGGATTCAGAAACATAATAAGCGACATAACTCAAATAAATATGGTGTTTTCAAGAGGTAATTATTATAAGATCAACTAAATGGCATGATATTTATTTTTCAGTAACAATACATGAATACATTAAGGTGTATTGACATTTTAAAGTTGTACTGAGCAATAGTAACTATAACATCCATAGTTGTAAATATTCAATTTTACTGGATCCAATCAAGATTCTGGTTTTAAATATTCACTTGAAAATAAGTAAATAAATAAAGATAAATAAGTAAAACTCAATTTATAATGCTATAGGGCTTGAGGCATAATGTACTGGGCTCTAATTATTGTATGTATATAAACACTAAGATGCAGGTGCATCCTGCTGACGAGTTCCAAATAGAACAGAACACGCGTTTTGAACTTCACTCCTGACTACTATCCAAATTCAATATAAAATATATTACTAGATGATATTATTGAAGGAATCCACTCAGGGTGTTTATATACCAACAGAGATCGATCAATTACAGTCTTTAATATCGGCAACGGAGGAATACAATACTTAAGAATAATGAAAAGATAGGCTGTCCAATACCAATTGGCTTATGCTATATTTTTCGGTTCAAACTCTAAAAATGCTTTTCACAAAAAAAAATCTTGTACGAATGATCCAGGAAATTGAATTTTCTTTCTTGAGCTACCATTAACTGCTATAATTATGTTTTCATACAGAGTATTTGGTTTCATACTTTGTATTGAAATTTAAAAGTTAACATAGTAGAGTATTTTTTACAAATCTAAATGGAGAAGGACTAGTTAGTTTGTTCTTTATCTTCTGGTCATTAACACTAAGTAATCAGTAACTTATCACCAGAGTTAGTTGTTTGTAAATGATTGATAAGCGTGTTAGTGGTTACATCAACAAGGTTTATATATATATATATATATATATATATATATAACAGCACATAAATCGTTTAACTGTCCAAAGACAAATATTTTTTAAATGAACTAACTTCAACTATTTTTAATCCAAGTCTTAACACATTATCTGGGTCACGTATACTGAATAAATATAATCCATGTTGAATAGCTGTTTTATTTGGTTTGAATATTAAATGAATAAAAAATGTTTCATTTGGTAATTTTGATTGTGGAAATAAACGTAATGCTGGTACACTATATAAAAGGTCACCTGAAGGTGGTTGAATTTTGATAGGGAATTCTTCATCAGCACGTGCTATATCATAACGACGATTTAATAGATAAGTTATATCCCAATTAACACCTATATAAAGCAAAAAGATAGAAAGAAAATAATAACATGAAATTCATTAAGCAAGGAGAATAAGATCTATTTAAATATATATTTTCACTGAATTAAATCCAATTGATTTTTTATTATTGTTAAATTTATGACTTTCACGCTTAATACTTAACAATAAAGCTATCAAAGATGATTTTATGGAACTGTTTCATTTGAAGGTTATCATCATCAAATAATTACATCTACTACAAAGGTGAATTAAAGCAAATAGAATTGACTTAACTGTTTCATACTAGTTTGATACTTCTCTTATGTTGTTTATTTGTTATTTAAACTATAGTAAATGAATCTAATGCATGTTCATTGCAAGATTTTAACGATTTACATGAAAGATGATAGTATGTATTGTTTAAAGGTTTTATTTCATTCTTATCGGGTAAAATTTTCAACTTAGCAAAATATCATTGTTTTGTATTAACAACACATTGTGTATACATCATAGAACCTCGAATTGAATATTGTGTTACCTAATTCATTTCTAATCTTCTTGAACAGGTTGTCTAGAGAATTTTAAATGGATAAAAATGAAATTCTGAAAATTTTAAAACACTTTGTCACCTAATTTTTGTGCACAAAGAAAATAACATTAAAACCGAATTATATGGTTGATTAGGTTGTACTATCGATTATTGCCTATTCATTGACTAATACTAATAATATTCATTTCATATAGATTCGAGGGAAAACAGTGTTTAGAATACTCAGGTTAGGATAAATTAAATGTCTTGTACTCATTGATCTTTACTAGTTTCTCAGTTGACTTCTGTTCATGATGAAAACCACTTGGTTAATTTGTTGGAAAACATTTTTAGTGATATAAGTAAAATACTTATTATTAACCGATTTAATTAGTATTGGATCAAAAAATTCAATTGAGAGTTTTTAATGATCAGGTTGAAATGAACTAAACACTGGGTGGTAGTTTTAATAATTTTCGGAAAACGTATTTTTACCAACTAGTTCTTAAAAAAAAAACAATTATTCTTAGGCTTAATATTGAGTCTGTCCATAAACATATATGTCTATATAGACATTCATATCTTACATTCATTCATTATCTATTATCATCTGAAATCCTGGTTTTACAGATTATTTGGGCATATTTTTCACATTTGCATAGACCAATTTTCACTTCATACTGTCATATACAACATACATTGTGTAAAATGTTGTATTGTATTACCAATATTCCAATAATCGGAACACAATGAACTGAAAATTAAACTTTTTTGTAAACTGTTGTTAGTGATGTGTTGAACTTTACTGTTATTCGCTTTCATATAATTATTAAATAATATCGAATAGAATTCGTCTGATTATAAGATGGGTGAGTGTTAATTTAAAATTACGTAGGTAAAATATAAGGAAAAATATATGATTACTGAAAGAGAAAAAATATACTGAAAATGGAATTTGTTTGTAAACAAATATTGGTGATTAAGCTACCTAGTAATGATTACGAAATAAGAGAAACTAATTTAAGTTGCTTTATTTAGATTATGAAATTTGTAGGTAGTTTTTTATTATCGTGAACTGATATCAACTGTGTAACCCTTGAAAATTGGGAAAAATCGTACGTGTGTATCACGTCAGTTTAGGACGTTTTAACATTATGAACTCGTGCTGTAACACATGACCAAGATCCACATAGTATAGTGAGGATGTTATCATTCATTCACATAATTATCCGTCTACGAAACTGAATTGATATCGGACCATGTAGTGTATAACAATTGAATGGCTCACTAGCATCGAGTTAACTAAGAAGTATTATTTAAATTAATTTGAAATATGTTAAAATTTAATTTGTGCGAAATTTAATGATGGTTTAAAAGTTAACGAAATAAGTTAGATAATATTAAAGAGGAAGAATGTATTCATAAAATCTCAGCGTAAGAATTTGAAGTAAATTCCTACGTTTCGCCTAGCAATTTAGTCCAAGCTTTTTGCAATTAGATGAGAGTTGTTCAATAAACTTAATGCTTATTAATTTGCATATCTTATGATAAAAGCAGCTTAAATATTTATGTTAAGCAAAATTGAAAAAAACCCATCTTTTCGACTAATACATCAGATCTTAAAACTCTACAGTTTATAAGCGAAAAATAAACTTCAAATACTTTGGAACTATTTGGCTAAAGTAAATAGCATTTATTTCGTGATGCTACACTTTGAACTTTAAAAGTAAAAGTAAAAGTATATTTCTCATGGGTAGATTAAAATTTTATGAATGCTTTTATTGACTCGTTTAACTTAAACATTGGATTTAAGGTGATTTATTAGGCTTCTGAGAACAAATATATATTCTACATATTTTAGATCATATTCATACGCATTGGTAAAATAAATTAAACAAACGGATTTAACGGACAAGTGTTTAATATAGCTATACTACTATGGTGTGTGCCACTTATATCGACATGAGTAGTATATAATGAAAGCCAGGATTAGAATATCTAACAGCAGAAGGTCGAGAAGATCAAGGAGGAAAAAACGGCAACAAAAAGCAAGTGGTATGGAAATGCAGGAACAGTAAAGTTTGAGACGCTTGACTGGTATTTTCAAAGGAACGGTCGAGTTTGAGACAACTGATTGATATTTTGCAAATAAAGTATTTAATATATGGTTCACAGATTTTACTTAAATGTTCTATAGTTTTGTGTTAAAATACATTCGATCGTCCCCACTTGTTTTCTCGTTCACTACACTACCAACTTGAAGAATCAGTTCTGTATTCTTAATTTTCTATCTGTTTCTATTTCTCGATGATAATGGACGTTACATTTTTAGAAATACACAAGTAAATGTATTTAGCTGCTTGTTTGTGCTGTTCAAAATGCACTTGGAAGACACTAAGATAATCAATGGTTTATAGATTAACGACTGGCAAGCCTTTCGTCATTGTTTGAAAGTCATTCAGAAAAAAAACTGTAGAGCCTTTTCTTGTAAATTATGTTCGTATGTGCTTAAACATAATTCGATTTAAACGGACGTTTTTCGCTAGTTGGATTTAGAAACTTAAGTGTTTTTATTCCTACGATTTATTTTCAATTTATACGAATACGGTTGACACTGACCATTTCGAAGAATCGATTTGTTGTGATTACAAGTGGATGTAATGTATCGAATACTGTTTCGGAAATTACGTATATGTATGAAATACAACAAGGAATTTAAATGTCAACTATTTATCTTATGTAATTTAATCAAATGTTTATGATTAGTAAATAAACGTCTACGATTTATTAGTTTGAAAAACATGCCATCTTTATGTATGTTTACTAGACTAGTCGGTCCAGTATTGAGATACTAAACTGAAATGTATTAATTTGGATCCTAAGATGGTTCGGTTTACTTTCAACTTTATTTATTAATTTATTATATAACTGAATTGTAATTTAAAACATATCAGGGAAAAAGAAAAAATCACTAATTTATAATGTTATTATATTCCTTGTTTAAACTTGATTAATTCTTAATCTTTCTAATTGTTAAACTTGGGACAGTTTTATCATATTCAATTTTGGTGAACATATAAAAACGTATGTTAAAATTTTTTTTAATACGTTAAGACATCCATTACATTCATATCCTTCCTTGTTCGTGTCTGCAAAAAGTTGCATTTCAAAAAAGTACATTTTAATGTGTGAGTGTTTATTCACACTAAAATTCAGGCTTAAATTTACTGAAGGTTCTATTTTATATCCGTAAATTTTAGATGAATTACATGAAGTGATCGAAGCTTTTTGATCTCAGAAATTGACAACAATAATTCTAATTATATCTCATTAATTAATATTATTTTACTAGTCATTGAATTCATCCCTAAATGTCTTTTTGAATTTCTTTCTCTTCAATCCTTTAAATGCTTTTATTTTCCCTACATAATGCCACCCATAACTTTTAGCTCTTTAAACATCTTCTGCCTTCTGTTACTTGCTGAGAGTTAAGAAGTGAAAGAATTCTTGAAGCAAGAAAGCAGCTGAAAATTTATTATATAGAACGTTCATAGTACAAGATCTACCAGCCGCAAACTATCTTAACAAACAATCATTTAGTGCCACATTCAATTCTCAATAATGCCAACTAGCTACTTCTATCCTCGTTTGAAATCAGATCTCTTGTGCACTGATTAGTTTGCAGTTTTTTTTCTAATTTCTAAACTTCATATTTTTTGAACTCAATTAAGCGTATAGGTGATTTTATTATATAGGGTACAAAAATGGTCTACTGAAATAACTAATGCTATCTAATTATGACTTACAGATGTTTCTGTAAAGCGAAGAACTAATTGTGTTTTTTAAATTCTAATCTCTATCTACTCACTTGAATGTATGATGTTCAGTATAGTGTAAACCAATAACATTTTATAATCATATGTATTCAATGCTGATAGCAATTAAAACAATATTAACTTCTTTTCTTTCTAAAACTAACTTAATTATGGTTGTATTAATTAGTTTAATTGTGAAACTTAGTTAGTAACTGCATTTCAATTGATCTATTATTTAATATATTATCAATTAGACTGGGAAAATTCTGTCTATGAACATTGTGTGTGGGCGAAAAATAACTATATGTTATATGCCTGTTCATTATACATGATTATGATTTTTTTTTCTTGTCAACCAAACAACAGATGGGTAAAATTCTAATAAAATCCAAATGGACTGAAATTGTATGTTCTATGATCTATTTGTTAGTTAGATTTAAAAATTTACGTAGTCAATTTATGGATTACTGATTCGACAGCAACTAAGTACATTCATAATTTCTGTGTAACGATATTAACTAAAAAATTTTATGTGTGCGTATGTTGAGTTATTTTTTTCTTGTTTCGACAAAGATTACGAACAAAATTTACTTTAATAGACAATACCACATTAAGTATTATTGTGGTGTGTGCTGCTTATATTGACATAAGTAGTATATGATGTTAGTCGTAAACAGAAGGTCTGGAA